TCACTTTGTTAAAGAATGCAATAAGATTAGTGTGGCATGATCTATTTTTGACAAACCCATGTTGGCTTTTGGCTATTACTTTGTTTACTTCTAGGTGTTTGCTAATTCATTGCTTGATTATAAATAGTGTTTGTTATTTTCAATGGGCCAGATTGGTAAATAAATGATCATACAATAAGCAAAATTATAGGTTTGGTCACATTCAGGCAATCATATATCAACTTATTAAGGCAATGAATTGTGTAGGCACTTTACTTCTTGCTTCAGATGAATTGAAAAATAAAAATGTAATTTATTAACCATATATTTGGGGTTTATCTGGCTATGTCTGAATAGTTTCAATAGGGTATTTAAATCATTGTTTGAAGTTTTAATATATTGGATTGTTTATATCTTGGTTTAATTAGATGAGAAAAAGTTCTCCAAATGGAACTATTCTGTTCTAAAGTTTTCAATTGACAATACTTATTTATTGACATAAATAAAATAAAATTGCAGTTGAAGTAGAATTTCAAGGGAAGATATTGTACCCAAACAAAACAAAAACTACATTTTCTATTATTTATACCAGTTCATGCAGAGATCTTATAAAATCTACGTGATTGAGAACTAGGATAGAAAACTTTTTGGAGTTCTAATTCATATTCAATTGTAATTTATAAAACTGAAAGCAATTTAAATATAAATTGTAAAATAGATGTAAAACCATTATTCAATCTCTCTTACATTAACTCTGTCAGTTATAAATGTTACTTAATGGTGTCTGAATGTTGGAGGAAATACATACACAAAAGATGATTGAACTGGCGTAGAATCTACATTTGTAATGCAGACTGATTTAAAAGTTAAATTTGAAGATTTTTCTGATCTTTGGTTTAAGACAAGAAACTTCCTCCCATATTAGCTATACTCATAAATCGTATCTTGCTGATTAAAACTAATTACTTGGTTCACATTATAAGCATGTTCAAAGTTGTGGGGGAGGGATATAAGAGCAGTGGAGAAAACCAGATTAATTTTGCCTAGCCTATAAATAATAATGTAACCCATGGCAATGGGAAGGCAGATACTATAGAATGAAATGAGAAGAAGACGGAGTGCAACCTGAACCCAGAAGTCACCTTCTGTAACTAAGTCAGGTCAATTTCTCCAGTGCTTCCAATAAGATCTTGATGTCACAGGTGGATGATCTTATTAGTAAGCAATGCGCCCATCTGACAGCTCACTTTACATTAAGGACAAATCTCTACTGATTCTTTTTCCCATCAATCTTTATATAGAAGTTATATCCCTAAGAAGATATACAAGTGATGTATCTCTATTTCATTTATTTCATTTCATTTATTAAATTTATAGGCCGCCCAATCCCGGAGGACTCCGGGCGGCTTACAACGAAAGAAGAAAAGAGAAAAGCAAAATAAATAAATAAATAATAGTTTAAAATTCACAACACACATATGTTCTAATCGGGGCTGGACCTTAACAC